TTTGGAAGAACAAACAAAGTAGTTTCGCTTTCACAACGAAACACATGACAACAACAATACTACAGCGAGAATAAAAGTTACGCCTTCTTTCTTTGCGTGAACATTTGGGCGGCGTTATGGAAATCTTCCCACATCGTGACGTAGACATGTGGGGGCGTGTTAGAGCGAGCCGTTTTAGGTAGGCGTGGTTGACTCTTAACTTTTATAAAGAATATCTCTTTGGATATGAGACTTTAGTCTTTGCAACTTTACAGATCTTCTTTATGCACCAAGAGCTTGTAACACTCCAAAGAGAAAGGATAAATTTAAATCGCATCATATGACCCCTTTAAATCATTATTCCTCATCTCACTGTCTCTTCTGAATTGGTCATCTCTACTCATCTTAATTTGACTAATCTTGTTTAGTCTAATATCATAATTTTTATCACTTATTTAATCACAATTTGTCTCTTCTCACTGTCTCTTCTGTTCTCTTCTCGATTTGTATCTTCTTTTCAATTTGCTTGGTCTTTTCTCCAAGCTTCTTTTAAAGACTTTTCTCATGTCGACTCACTTTGTCTCATGTCTTCTGCATTTATTTAATCTCATCTTAATATGTCTCATACTGTCTCTTCTGTCCAATTTTTGATTTGTCTCATCTTTTGTCAATTCAATTTGCCTTTTTCCTCTTATCTCAGATTGCATACTTCTAGTTTAATCTAATTTTTTTCTCTTCTCACCTCTCTAGTCTAATTTCCCCTTGTCTCATCTCATTCCTTCTATTCTCTTTTTGCCTCTTTCCTTCTTGATTTATCTCAACTTCTAACATCTATTCTTGATATGTCTCATCTTAATTTGTCTCGTCTCCTCCTTTCTCCTAAGCTCTCCTCTTAGCTCATCTGTCCTCACACTGCTTGTTTATCTTTGTCCTTTGTAAAATGCACAGATCTAAAGGGAGGGAGGGAGGAAAACAGGGAGACGGAGGTCAGCGAGCTTGTGTGAGCTGATGTTGCTGTCATAACCGTTTCCCTCACAGCAACACTGAGGACGTACATAAAGGTTTCTGCTTTCAAAACATGTCCTGGATCAGGTGACAAGGTCAGCGTGGCCTGTCAGTGTGTGGAGGTGTAAGAGGTGGCCTGCACAGACTAAAACCATGCCCTTTCCTGACATTGTTGTCACCAGAAAACGTTGTAAACTTCATACCTTCATACTCAACAGAAGAACAAAGCTGTGATTGCCCACATGAAATATAAAAACATGGAAGCATTTACTTAAGGGCTGACATCACTGTCATCTATTTAGAAGCGAGTCACAAGGAAAGCTTAATTAACCCAACACACATCCTCTCTCAAGCAAACAGTGCTCCCTACATTGAAATCACTTCAATGTGTCAGATTTCATACAGGCTACCCAGAGTTCCCCGGTAGACCCATCCTCATTGTCCTGCTTGTCTGTAGCATCAGAAAGCTGGAATGCTAAACTTCTTAATTCCCAGTGAGAACTGGCACGGTTTGAGATCTGGCATTGCACTGTTTGTCTGTAAATTATCCCTCAGAGAGGGGGAAGATGGCATGGCTGAGAAGTGTGGTATGGTCTGGTGTGGTGTGGCAGTCCGTCGCTACTCTCTCTGGGGGGCTTTGACACGCTGCATAAATGCAGCAGACTAAATTAATCTAATCGCCGCCAGATTGCACCTAATTTATGTCCCACAAGCGAGAAACCAAACCCCACACCTCCTCTGCTTTAGTAACCTCAGAAGTAGGCTGTGATACGCCAGATCCTGAAACAGAACTGCTCCATCGTCTAAAAGGAGACACTTTTCAGGCCAGTCCAGAGGACAGTATGGTACACAACAATAAATCTGTTATAGCAAAGACCTCCATTTGACATCTGCTCTGTGTGTTTTGGCAAAGCCGATGTCTTTGAATTAATTTATAGACTTTTATTTGTAGCATATTAACGTCATCCCAGCTATAGAAAGAAACTTCATCCTGAGTTGAAAAGCAGGTCAGTTCTCTCAATAAATAAAGGAGACACTTTTCAGGCCAGTCCAGAGGACAGTATGGTACACAACAATAAATCTGTTATGGCAAAGACCTCCATTTGACATCTGCTCTGTGTGTTTTGGCAAAGCCGATGTCTTTGAATTAATTTATAGACTTTTATTATTAACGTCATCCCAGCTATAGAAAGAAACTTCATCCTGAGTTGAAAAGCAGGTCAGTTCTCTCAATAAAATATCGCATGAGTGAAACATGTTGTGGAGGCAGACAGTCCACATGAGTCTGAATATAAATACGGTTTTAAATAGAAAACCCAGAGATGGTCAGTATTTTGCAGGAAAGCAGTGGGAGGATACGGGCTGTGCAGAAGAGAGGATAAAAGGAGCTTTATGCAGCTTTGGCTTTACCTTGGTGCTGTTGGTGGTGATACAGTTGCTGCTCCCCCATAAGCCTCCACTCCCATCTCTGTGCAGTCAGCATTGTAAACACACTGTTGCCGCGGGCAACCAAGCCGGTGACTCGGTGGGTGTGTTTTAATGCATGACTGACAGTGACTCGTACCTCTCCCACAATTTTGGTCCCCCTCTCCCTGTTCTCCTCCAACAAAATGCAAATCTGAATTGAACGTTCTAAATCAGCCTGCAACACACTCATCTGAAATAGAATAACTATTCTCCCCAATTGTAAGTCGCGTTGGATAAAAGCGTCTGCTAAATGACTAAATGTAAATGTAAATGTAACTATACCCAACTTATTTTACAAGTTAAATTCTGCACACACTCACACGAAAGCAAAGATGTCACTGTCAATGCAAGTGCATGTTTCGGGTAAAAATAAATAAATAAAATAAACACTAATAGAAAATGTGATTGATTTGATAGATCAAATGGTCCGATGCCTTCGATCTTAGACAGCAGAGAATTTGCAAATATAAAGCTGATACAGGCCTATATGATATCATACAGTTTAATTTAGAATAAACATGCACAATTTTGGCAAAGAAAAATAAATGAATGAATGAATAAATAAATAAATCTGTCTGATTTATATTTATCTGAATAAAACAGATTTATAATTTAGCAACTTCTTCATCCTGTTATGAAGCTGGAGAATGGAATGCATTTAACATTATATTTTCATGGATGTGAAAATAAAAGTCCAACACTTATCAGATGATATCAATAATTTAATAAAAAGGATGAATATTATCCGATAACAATGGCCATGTTGATATATCGGTCGACCACTAATATTTTTAATATTTACTAATATTTAATTCTTAAAATAATTTAAATATTTGAATCTATGTATTTTTATTGAATGTATAAATATTTTACAAAAAAAGGGAACATGTTGCAAATGTTGCAGTCCAGTTCTGCTAATCTACTTTACTGTGGAAACTCAGTTTCAAATCATGTCATTTGAATGAATTAAATAAGGGCAATAACTACTTGAACTGAAGCCTAAGAATCAACTTATTTCAATTTGATTTAATTCAATTTGATTCAGATTCTAAATTCAGATTCACATTCACATTCTAGATTTAAATTCACATTCACATTTGGATTCTGAATTCAGATTTACGTTCAGATTCTGCATTCGAATTCTGACATTCTGGTTCAAATTCAGATTTTAAATCAAAATTGAATACTGAATAAAGACATTGTGAATGTGAATCAGAAAATCAGAGCTCTGTCATAATCTAAATCTTCTGCGGAACCACCAAAGACGTAAACACTTGATTACACAGATTTATCCAGACATCAAGAAGCATTGTACGCAAAAGCATGAGTCAAAGGACATTTATGTACACTGTTAGACTTTGCTGTAATTTTACAGTTACTTACCGCAAAAAAAGCCCAGTAAACTATCATATATATGTTTTACGGTCAACTACTGTAATATGCACTGAATTATGGGTATTTTAATGCCATTTACAGTAATTTACTGTATATGGGAATTTGCAGTAATTTACTGTTTGCTCAAAAGCAGTAGTGCTACTGTAAATTGTTCTGCAGATGAAAAACATGAATCTGCATTCTCAATATAATGTCTGGGTAAGCACAAGTGTGGGAGAAGCATTGTACGCAAAAGCATGAGTCAAAGGACATTTATGTACACTGTTAGACTTTGCTGTAATTTTACAGTTACTTACCACAAAAAAGCCCAGTAAACTATCATATATATGTTTTACGGTCAACTACTGTAATATGCACTGAATTATGGGTATTCTAATGCCATTTACAGTAATTTACTGTATATGGGAATTTGCAGTAATTTACTGTTTGCTCAAAAGCAGTAGTGCTACTGTAAATTGTTCTGCAGATGAAAAACATGAATCTGCATTCTCAATATAATGTCTGGGTAAGCACAAGTGTGGTGAAATATCGCGAGTGAATAGCCAGACGTCAGCTGCGAGTTTTCCTCCGAGTGAATCGGCAGAAGTCAGCTGCGAGTTTTCCTCCGAGGGAATCGCCAGACGTCAGCTGCGAGTTTTCCTGTGGTAAGTACTTTTCACTGTATTATTGGTGGAGTTCCCTTTAAAATGTTAAAAGATTTCCTTTGAGCTAAATTATCACTGTTTCCCGTATACTGGGACGGTCTGAGGGAAAAGTCTGCTTTCCTCAAAAACTGCCGCTTTCATGAAACTCATTCAACTGTCCTGCAACTGACTAGTATAGTGACTATACTGACCTTACTACTATAGATGTGTAGTATTTACACGGAACATTTTTTTTCGACTTTTTTATTGCTTGTTATGGTGTATTTTACTCCTCAGTTAAATGAATACCGTTAAATGTGTGTGACGTTATTTGAAATAGCACGAGCTCTCTCTCTCGCATGCATGTTCTCTCTGGTGCGCGAGATGGGTAGGCCTATATGTCGCACGCTCTCTCTCTCTCATAATGTGTCAATCCTACATACAGCACCTGTGTCTGTTTTGAATTAAGTTTCATATTAATTATTTTTTTGCATGTTATTGTATATATTCTCTTCTCTCTTTTTTCAGTGTTGATTGTAATCTGATTTTGTAAGTGATCAATCTAGCAGCCATTCTAGATCTATGATTTATCATGTTCATAACATATAGTGATTAGTCAATAATAAAAATAATGATTCTTCTTTTTCTCTCTTTTGCTTGTTTCAACAGGAGCTAACTACACACAAAAGCTATTTTAGGAGCCACAGCACTGAGCATCTTTGGCTTTGTAAGTATGTTTTAACTATCAGACACAGTATGTGACATTAGATTAACTGCAGCTATGACAGAAACTGTAAGCCTCCATTCGAACCTATCGAAGAGATTTCTGATCGCCATCTTACAATAAATGCTACTTTTCTTCTGGTAATATCTTCTCTTAAGAGAGTTTGGGATTTACAGGCCCTCTCGGTGGCCCCTTCCTGTCTTGACTTTGCGCCCGGTCTGGCCAAAGAACGTCTCAGGTTACGTATGTAACCCCAGTTCCTCGAGGGAACGAGATACTGCGTCTCTGTGCCATACTTCTGGCGTCCCTGCCGGCGCTTGCTTAATTCCTAGAAGCTGACGCTGGCTCCGCCGCACGTGCTTTTATAGTTTCCTTGTCATGACGTCATCCGCCGTGACGTCCCGTTCAGCTATTGGACTGATTTCACATGTGATTCATAGCGTGGGTCGCAGAAGGCGTTCCCCTAGCGTTTTCGACGCAGCGTCTCGTTCCCTCGAGGAACTAGGGTTACATACGTAACCTGAGACTTTTCTCTCATTTGCTTGTTTCAACAGGAGCTAACTACACCTCAAAGGCTATTTTAGGAGCCACAGCACTGAGCATCTTTGGCTTTGTAAGTATGTTTTAACTATCAGACACAGTATGTGACATTAGATTAACTGCAGCTATGACAGAAATGTTTTAATATAATAATAATTAAAGAGATGTTTTGATATATATATACTCCCTTTTTCTTGTGTCAGCAGGAGCCAACTACACCCCAAAGACACTTTTGAGGGCCACCTAGAATCGCGGCACCTTTGGCTTCGTATGTTTTTTTATTTTTATTTTTATATGATCTCTCATATGTTGGGCTGGGGATTGATAGATATTTCATAATTCCATTTGATTCACAAGCTCTTAATTAATTTCTGATTTTGATACAATTCAGTATGATTCACAATTATTCTTATTCTCTTATTCTGATTCCAGTTTCCATACAATTTCATTGGATTAAAATATTTCTGAGAATTTGATGACAGCCATTTATGTACCTTGATTTAGTATTCATTTTGGTTATAATCCTGTATTCTTCTAGAGTATTTCTAGATCGACTCAAAAGCCTGTTTTGCTCTAATATTTTCAAACAATACAAATGTTACAGTAGCTGATACACACTGATATTCCTTGAATCAAGAGCTGTCACAACTAAAAAGATACTTTAAAACACTTCCAAAAAAAAAAAGTTCAAACTTTAAGTTTGAAGGACCATAAAGTTACTCTTAAATGTTAATGTACATTCAGGCAATTAATTGTTCCCTGACAAGGATGTGCAAAAAAGCAATACTGTTCAAACAGTACTATACTGGGAATAACTGCTGTTGCACAAGTTTAGATGAGATAAACTCATGACCATTTCTCACACATTTCCCCTCTGTTTTGTTTCAGATCAGCTGTCAGTGGTTATGGAGGCCATGCAGCTGTAGCGTCTGGACCAATCATACACACCATTTTTCATTTGATTTAACAAATCAATTATTCATTAGATTAACAAACATTCACAGACCCTTCACCCAATAAACATACTGGGTGCCAAGTTGTCTGTGAACGGCCCAGGACCCTGGTTACCATGGCAACCCTGACACCTTTGCTAGACCAGATAGATTTTACGACCTAATGGCATGTTGAGAATTACCCCTCTCACTACACTCTCCGTAGGAAGAGACACAATGCACGGCAGAAATGGACTCTTCTCTAATTAATCCATAGGAAAACCTTTCTTTGAATGAACACACATATCCTTCGGGTCATTGTGTATGTTGTCTTTGATATTTTTATACTGTTTTATGCAGGCTTATCATGGAACCACTCATTCCTGTCATCTTACCTATATGTAATCTTACCATGTTTAGTATCTATGAACTCACCTTCTGATGATCTAAACGAGCGTGTATATTATATGTGGGTACATAGGCAATATATTAGTGTCCTGAGA